TTTGAGACAGAATCTCCCTCTGCGGCACGATTTCAGCTCACTGCAACCTCAGCCTCCCCGGTTCAAGTGATTCTCCTGCCTCAGTCTCCTGAGTAGCTGGGATTACAGGCATGCGCCACCACACCCAGCTAATTTTTTTTGTATTTTTAGTAGAGACGGGGTTTCATCATGTTGGTCACGCTGGTCTCGAACTCCTGACCTCATGATCCTGCCTCAGCCTACTAAAGTGCCTCAGCCTCCTAAAGTGCTGAGATTACAAGCATTAGCTACCACACCAGGCCTTCTTTTCTCTTTTTTGAGACAGGGTCTTACTCTGGCTTTCAGGCTGGAGTGCAGTGGCGCGATCTTGGCTCACTGCAACCTCCGCTTCCCAGGTTCAAGCAATTGTGTCTCAGCCTCCTGAGTAGCTGAGATCATAGGCGTGCACCACCACACCCTGCTCATTTTTTTTTGTATTTTTAGTAGAGATGGGATTTTGCCATGATGGCCAAGCTGGTCTCAAACTCCTAAGCTCAAGTGATCCACCTGTCTCAGTCTCCCAAAGTGCTGGGATTACAGGCATGAGCCACCTCGCCCAGCCAGGATAATAATTTAAAAAAATATTTTGTCAGTACAAATGGAGCAATTAGCTATTTACAGCATGGCCAGTGATCTGTATTTTCCACTTAGAGTTTCAAATTAGAATACTGGTGAAATTCCTTCTCATCGTGTCTACTTCTCAATCTGTGAAACAAGATTGGACTAGATGATCCCTAAAATCCTTCCTGCTCTATCATGTAAAGGCTCACTGCTGTTATTTGTATCCTCTTCACACCTACCTAAGCCTAAGGACCACCCATCCGCCTTCAATAGATGTTTGTTGAGTACTTGATGGTCTCCCTCTCTCTCACACAAAACACCTGTCAGCATCTAAGCTCATCACCAGTGCGTTTATTGAGTGATGTTGATGTCATGAGGAAGTTCCTCCCTCTGCCTCCCTAGCAACGCTTCCTGTGAGGTGTCTAGGGACAGGGTGCAAATCCAGCCCTCATTTGCCCCTCCCCACCTTCAGTTTCCCCTTGCCCCGGTCCATCTTACAGTCTGAAGTGACCAGGAGAGGACTGCCAAGGGAGCAGGTTCTGACATCAGACCCCTATGTTGAACTGCAGTTCTTCTGTTACCTTGGATATGTTACTTAACTTCCATATTTTCTTCTAAACATTTTTATGACTTTTTTCATATTTGTGAATTTATTTTCATAAATGATGTGTGAAGTAAGGATTTTTTTTTTTTTTTTTTTTGAGACGGAGTCTCCTTCTGTTGCCTGCCTGGAGTGAAATGGTGCAGTCTTGGCTCACTGCAACCTCCACCTCCTGGGTTCAAGTGATTCTCCTGCTTCAGCCTCCTGAGTAGCTGGGATTACAGGCACATGCCACCACCCCTGGCTAATTTTTGTATTTTTAGTAGAGACGGGGTTTCACCATTTTGGCCAGGTTGGTCTCGAACTCTTGATCTCAGGTGATCTGTCCGCCTTGACCTCCCAAAGTGCTAGGATTACAGGTGTGAACCACTGTGCCTGGCTGTGAAATCATTTTTTCCTGTTTGGTTGATTGTCCCAACACCACCTACTACAGAATCCTTCCTTTCCCCACTCAGGTGCATAGTTCCTCTGGCTCCTACCATATTCCCATGTATGCACAGGTCTGTTTCTTGGTCCCCAGCTCACTTTTATTGTCTGATTGATTTCTATTTCTTTTTTTTTTTTTTTTTTTGAGACGGAGTTTCGCTTTTGTTACCCAGGCTGGAGTGCAATGGCGCGATCTCGGCTCACCGCAACCTCCGCCTCCTGGGTTCAGGCAATTCTCCTGCCCCAGCCTCCTGAGTCACTGGGATTACAGGCACGCGTCACCATGCCCAGCTAATTTTTTGTATTTTTAGTAGAGACGGGGTTTCACCGTGTTGACCAGGATGGTCTCGATCTCTTGACCTCGTGATCCACCCACCTCGGCCTCCCACAGTGCTGAGATTACAGGCGTGAGCCACCGCGCCCAGCCGATTTCTATTTCTATCCAGCTATTCCATTGATCACATTTAGTTACTGTACCTTTACATTAAGTCTTGATACTGACTGAACACAGGACTTCCATTGTAGTCCTGTGTTTTTTCCTGGCAGTTTCTCCAAATTGTCTTAGACATCCTTGGTGCGTTGCCCTGTGGTTTTTAGAGAAGGTTGTCTGGGTCCTTTAGAAAACAGCTTCCCTAAGCCCCATTTCCTTTACCATGACCTATGCCTCACAGGACTGCAAAGACTAACTGTGAAACAGTGACCACTACCTGGCCAGGAACACAAGAAACACAGAATAGACAGTGTCATCTTCCCCAAATGTCCGACCTGATGCAGTCACTGTTCTGTTTTAAAATCATTGTTGGCTTCCAAGGCATGCAGAGTAAAGTTCAAACACAGCCTGCTAAGCCATCCGACCCCAGCTAACCTTTCCCATGGCACCTCCGGCCTCTCCCTCCTCCCTGCCCGCTATCCCTATCAGGTTCCCCTAACACACTGCTCTGCCTTCGAACATGCTGTCCCTTCAGGCAGGGATCCCATGCATCCCTCACAGATCCTCTCAGACAACGCCTCCTTTGAGGTTAGGCACTTCCTCGGGCTTCCTTTATTGCCTTCATCGCTCTGCACTGTGATTCCTTGTGTCTGTTGGGACTCTGTGTCTTATTTAGCGAACTCAGCACAGGCCTTGGCATTTCCAAAGAGGTGCCACCATTTGATAATCACACCTTGACTTTGGTGCCACACACAGTCTTTCCCTTATTTAACACAATGATCCTGAGATGTAGACTTCTTCCCCACTGAACAGGAAGGAGCATGGATGGTAATTTGTCCAAGATCAAAGAGCTTGTCAACAGCGGCGCAGAGACCTGCATCCTGGGCTAATTCCCAACATTCATATCTTCTATTACACCAGAGAGCCTTCGGATGAATGACACCAGAGAGCCTTCCCTTTTCTGAATTCCTTTTTAAAAAAAATTACTATTTTTTTCAGTCTCCGTAGAGACTGTCAAAAATTGCCAATGCCAACTATATTGCAAGTCGTCATGGCGGGGTATTGGGAAAATTTTCAATTAGCAATAATCGCGCCTTGGGTAAACCTCATTGGCTACGATACTGCCACTGCGCAAAGCTCCCTTTTCTGAATTTATCTCCATCCCATTCTTCCATGGTCCTCCCACCCGAGCTCTCTCTGATATTGCTCCTTCCTACTTCACATTCCCCCAGTGGTTTACTTTTCCCAGGCTGTCATCTCTCTCATTTGGTGCCATCTGTCACCAATCAGGTGCCTCTGTGAGGACTGTGTGTCCTAGGTTTAGCACATCGCTGTTATTCAGAACACAGAACATGGAACCTCATGGCTGCATCTTCAGATGCTGAGATGTTAGCTGGATGTCACAAGATCAAGGATGGGAAATAAACCCTTCACCGCTGAAATCTGCTGGAAACCAGAAAGCAAGCAAGGCCATGGCTTGTAACACCAGGCTTTCTTGGAGCAGTTATCAGGTCTTCATAAATGGAAGCCAGCCTGACTGGAGATGAGCAGGAATTCTACCAACTCGAACTGGCTTAGACGGTCAGAGCCACCACCCGGCATGTCAACAAAGGATAGAGGAAATGCGAAGCTGGTCCCCACAATGTTAGGAGCAGCACTGGTGTCCTTGGGGCTGATTTCCTCTCTCCACCCATGTCCAAAGTTTTGGAGCGTCTCTTTAGATTTCTCTCTCTCTAGCCAGAAGTCCTGCAGGCCATTGGAAGACCAGACTGCAGAAAGGTAATCCTGAACCTTGCCATTTGCCCTCTGAGAATAAAACAGAATCATCATGTAAATGTGATGATGGACCAGCTTTAGAATGGTCCATAATGATCTGACATGGGCGAGTGGGGTGTTTCCAGAACACTCATGTCCCAATTAGAGGTGGCCAGTTGATGGTTTCCTGAGTACATCACCAGTTTCAGCATGTATGAGCTCATAGCCTCACCATACACACTAAATCTGGCAAAAGAAAGAATCCTTTGATGGAGGAAAGAAGGGTGATCATCATGGAATAAACAGAGGAAGGCTGTAGAATCAGAATTTTAGGGGGAATGGGTTCCCTGACCAACTGATAGGGAATTTGTCCTGTGGTGAAATGAAGTCAAGAGGCTGTTTATTGCTGCTCAGTAACCAACACTGTGCATTTTTTTTTTTTTTTTTTTTTTTTTTTTTGGCTTCCCACACAGCCAGCCAGTACACAAACCAGGTAACTTTGATGTTTACCATCATATAAATGGAACCAATTATTGGCTGGGTGGAGTGGCTCAGATCTGTAATCCCAGCATTTTGGGGGGCTGAGGCGGGTGGATCACGAGGTCAGGAGTTCAAGACCAGCCTGGCCAAGATAGTGGAACCCCGTCTCTACCAAAAATACAAAAATTAGCCAGGCACAGTGACGGGTGCCTGTAATCCCAGCTACTCAGGAGGCTGAGGTAGAGAATTGCTTGAACCCGGGAGGTGGAGGCTGCAGTGAGTCGAGATTGTGCCACTGCACTCCAGCCTGGGCAACAAAGCAAAACTCTGTCTCTAAATCAACCAACTAACCGATTATCATCTGGGCACAGAGATTTGTGTGTCTTGTCCTGGAAGTGACTATCTTCCACTGACTCCATCAGGTTCCTTGGCTTATACTTGACCAGTGATGCTGCCAACAGAGTCCTATCCTAGCAGCCAGCTTGTCTTGGTGGATGGATGTTTCTGACTTATAGGCTGTTCATTGTTGTTTCTCTGTCCGCCTCTGCATTTCCAGGTGCACTCGAGTCTGCAGAGCCTCAGGCATGGTATCACAAGCTTCCAGACTGCTCCAATCCAGGCTCTCCTGCCAGCTCCTCCTGAGACATGGCTGATGCCACATGACTGCCCTGTTCAGGTCCACGCCAAGCATAAAACCAAACTCTCTAGACTGGCTTTTGTGGCTTTCCATAATTTGATCTCACCAGACTTTATTTTCCATTACAGCTCAAACTGTTCCTTCCTTTTGGGACCACGGGACACAGCTCACTTAATCCTGCTCTCCCACTGGTGACGCCCACCCACTCTGCCTGCAAGCCCTACCACTACACATCTTCAAAAAATGGCTCCACCTTTCCTGATTCCACCCCATCACAGAAGGAAGCTTCTTGTGATGCTTCCTTATTTTGGATGTGGCTCACTTCTTTCCCCTTCCAGTTCCTCTGGGCCCCCTATAAAGCCTCCTTGGCTAAGGGCGACAGGCCCTCTCCTTAGCACTGGGCACTGTCTGTCTAACTAGGGCTCTCTCTGGGCACCCGGTAGCAAGGACAGCAAGATAAAACAAAATGCCGATTCTAACTGCCTCTGGCTTCTCCACTGCATTTCTCACCTGAATGCCCTGCACACCAAATCTTCCACGGGGCCACCCTTGACTTCTAGGGCAATTCCCAAGAATCCAGCAGAGGGGTGGGGAAACCAAGATTGACATGAAGGACTCAAGGGAAACCTCTGGAAAGAAGAGACCAGACACTAAAAGAGATGTGTGTGAAATACTTGTTTTTTATTGGTTGGCACAAGATTACAACCTACAGTTTCAATGCCCTTCCCTCCCACACAGCTCAAATGGAAGGAAATTCATTAACACATAGAAAGGAACGGCAGGGTCACAGGTTTAAGCATTTGTTTTTACAAAAAGGAGTGGGATGTGGGGGTGGTCAGTTTTATGGGTAGTAACAACATTCTCTCTAGATTGCAGGGGTAAGTCTGCCTGGCCCCCGATGCTGGTACCACATAAGGGACACATTAGTAAAGCAGGGAAAGGTTTTATGTGTGGCTGGCCTGCTCTTAAGAGAGGAAGGTGGGATGGTATCTGCTGTGTACCTGACTCGGACCAATCCTGGGGCTGGACTGGTACCCCTTTCTTCTCAGCCCTCCTCCACTACCTGACTGTACTGCCAGCCGCACCCATGGGAAGGAGGTGTGAAGGAAGCCTGAGAACATCCGCCTTGAGAAAAGGAGGAAAACTATTTTCTTCCGCCTTCTCTGGACCAAATTCCACTCCCCTCAGCTCCAGAGAGCACTGCAAAAATCTTCCTTAGAAATGCTGTGAAGATGCGGGGAAGAGGCCAGCCCAGACAGGTGGTCCCGAGCAGGCTGGAAGAAAAGCTTCACTTTCCATGCAGTACCAAGCAAGGTTGTTTTGGAAAAACGCAAACAAACCAAAAACAGAAACCAAGACCATTTACCCACAGGCTGGGTAGCTCCTAAATCCTGGAGCACGTTTGGATTGGGGTTAGGGCAATTTTACCCCAGCTCCTTGTTTCAAAACCCACACCAGATGCCAAGAGGTTTTAGGACCACAACTGACCTCTTTCCCTATAAGCACCGTTCTTTGGATTCCCAGTTTTGTTGAGCTCATTTGGGGTCATACTTGCCATCCTCTTCAAAAATGACTTGGTCTCTTGTTTGTTCCGTTTTCTACCCCTTTCTACCATTATGAACAAACTGTCTAAACAGGAGATCCATATATGCCCTCATCCTGCAGCCCAAGGATCAGGTGACCTAGTGATGAGAAGCTAACTTACTTGCTTTCCTGGGTGGTCCTGGTGGAAAGGAATAGCAGCAGAGTTCTGGTGGGATAGGGCAGTCTGGTCTGAGCCACTGTGTGATTCCTCAGGGGACTGGTCCCTGGGTACATGGGCCCTTGGCTCTGTCTCAGTTCCAGAGACATTACTCAACTTGGCTATTTAAGCCTCAGCTAAAACATATGAGCATGAGGGAAAAGGGACAAGAAATACTTTTGTCTTCCGGAAAAACAACACATCTCGGCTACTTTGCCTCTTAACCCACAGGGTTCCCTGGAAACACCTGTTGAACCTGGCCAAGAGGAGACTGTATCTGGATGGTACACCTGTAACGGTTTATCACTTTTAAAACTGAAATGGTCCCAGGGATGTTAACCTTCCTGCTGCTGATGGTAGATGAGTGAAGTGAAGGTGCTCATGTGAGAAAACTCCTTAAAAACCCTTAAGCTGTTTGGAGACTACACACCACAGCTGAGCAAACCAAGGCAGGGCCTCACTGCCTCCTCAGAGCCCATCCCTGACCATGCCATTGGATAGGATAGAAGACAAAGTCTTTGAAATGGAGGCTGGGTTGGCAAAAGTAAGCAGAGGTGCTACTGCTGGCCTTCCACTCCTCTCTCTCATACACCTAAGAGGGCGAGGAACACTTGCTTCAGGTCCATTTACAACAGTTCCCAACGGCCTGAAATACTCCTGACTTCCTCAATAACGCACATGGAAAACTGGTAGGCTGTTTTTCTAACTGAAATTTTACTTATTCTAACCACCAACCTTTTCTTTGATTACCAACCAGTGTGACAGTTTTCAGATCACAAAATAATAGAACAGACTGACATTTACAAAACTGTACTACACACTGATTTCTTTTACAGTCGAGTTGGCCGACTGCTTTTCTAACTACTAACGCCATGCCACTGGGCCCTGGACGCTGATGTTTCTGTTCCCTGAGCAACACATCTATGTCCGTTCACAGATGGAAGTGAGAGGGTGAGATTCTCAGAGGCTAAACAAAATTCTGGTAGTAAACTGGATTTTTGAAGGGAGAGACCCCTTGGAAAATTCAGAGCGAAAATGCTCAGTCACACAGGGTGAGCGGGCAGGTCCGTCTGTGAGCTCCAGCTTAGGTGCCTGTTGTTCCCTTCTGAACTCCTTCATGTTCTTGGGAGGACACAAGCCTCTTGCTCACCAAGCTAAGGCCCTTCAAGTCTCCTTTTTACTTCAGCATTTTGGAAGCTCTCCAAGACTTACCTTCAGATCTGGGGAGGTTCTGTGTGGAGCAGACCTATCCTCCTTATTCCTGCTCCTGGGTGTCTTCATAATCAGCCTCTAACTTCCCTGGCATAAGTCCTATCTGTTCTGCTGCTGGACTGAGTAAACATAACTAGATATCCTTTGGACCATTAATTAGTGACACATTTTCTCCACAACAAAGGGAGGTTAAAGACCAAAGTTTATTAACCTGGGAAGGTTTTTTTCGGCAAGACAATACAGAGGTTAAAGAGGCTATGTGGATCAGTCACTGCTTTAGCTTACCATTTTCAATTCAGCACCAAAGTGCTCAGAAGACAGGCTCAGATCAGGATGACTTCTCAAAGGGATTCACAGGCAATCTTACTGGCAAAATGATTTCCCAAAGCTGAGCCACGAGCCCCGCCCGACAGAGAGGGGAGTACAGTCTTAAGGCCCAGCATTGGCACTGAGGCATCTTGCTTTTTTCCCTAAGGAATTCCACAAAGGCTTAAGAGTTTGAACTAAATGCCTGGCTGGAAGCTCAAGTCCAGGAGAGCTACTTCACTGTACTGTTGAGATGTTGTCTAAAAGGTACAGTCATATAACAAGCAATTTAGTAGCTAATTATTCCAGACAAGACTTAATGTTCTCTGAATCAATGACTAATAGAATCTTCGCATCTGGCCTGGCTGGAGAGGGGGCTCAGGGGACAGGAAAGGGAGGGTGGAAGGATGGGCAGCACATCAGAATGGTGATGAACCTGGCCAAACGGCAATGCTGCTGCTGTTGTATCCTTAAATGCCTATATCCAGGGTTTTAAATGGTGCTTTTTTTTGTGCTTCCTGATAGGAAGTCAAATAAGTTTTATATTAAGAACTGGGGATATAAACCAAAGGAAACCTAGTTATTAAACCATCAACTGCTGGAGGAAGAGAGGCAATGACTGCTTTCTACCTTCTAGATATTAATCTTGCTTTTTTTTTTTTTTTTTTTT